CACATCAAATCAGGACCGTCGGTTGTATGTGGTGGGCCAGAAAAATGAATTAATAGAAATCGTTGGATTTAATTTATGCGGCCCAGATTGTTTGATAAGGAGGCTTCGATTGCTTAGCTCCAGAGAGAATCCGTTATCTAAGGCAATAGGCTAGGGCATTATGTCGGCCTTCAAATCTACATCTACATAATATCATATGACAATCCATAAAATGAGATTTACTAGCTATAAATTTGCAAAGAAAAAGCAAGGCAGACTAAAAAACGTGTGATTGCCGCATTCAAATTAATAATATCACATAACAGTAAGACGGACTCGCCAATTTAGTTCAGCACCAATTCCACCAAATCCCAAGGAGAAGTCAAAAGAATAAGGTATCGTTTGAGGATTTGGATCCTCGTCGGATTCCCTCCCTGAGGATCCTAGGGATCAACGAACACGGACAGTTGATAAAAAATCGTGCAGCCACAATTTTATTTTATTTTATATTTTTTATGCAAAATGATGCTGCTGCTTTACTTTTAAAAATATAAAAAAAATATTTAATTAGGACCGTACGATTTTTTATCAACGATTCGTGTTCGTTGATCCTTGGAATCCCCAGGAGATCCGGAGAGGATCCAAATCCATCGTTTGAGTATGTATATATAAATAAATATTCTTTTGTGAAAATAATCATGAGGGAAGGGAGACTCGGAGACAAAAAGCTGGGGCCATGTCATTGACTCACTGGTACACATCATCATCATCATCAACTTTCTCTGGCCTTGCTTCAAAGCCATGTCTGTATGTAGGTACTGCTGTAACTGTCGTTGTAGAACTCGATCATTGCGGAGTTCGTAGATTGGGCTTAAGAAGGGCATCATATAAATTTGGTCGTACCAAATCCCAGGCAGGCATGTAATGTATTAATTTCAAAATTATATTTTAATTTTTTATTATGTTCCTATCTGCATAAAGTTACTACCCTCTGTCCAATTTATGTTGGGAGAATGATTTTTGTTGGTGTAAAAAACACTAATATCCTGATAATGCCTGTAGCAACAATTTATTCATTCTTTTTAAGAAAGCTATATTTTTACGGGAATGGTAGAGTTAGGATTTTATAATAATGAGGTCATAATATATACTTCTAAAAATTTATCATACTTTCATTTATATTGTTAAGGGTGTGTTCTCATATTTTAGAAATGTCAAATTGCACCAAGAGACAAATGAGAAAACACTCAGAGTTAGGACATAAAATAAAGAATATCAGAGAAAATCTTTTGTCAAAGATGGAGAGTGATTTTAACATATACCCTTAATAGAAGTGTAGCAAGTTGTATGTTCTTTCTTAGTTCTCATAAGGCTCAAAAGGATATTGAGTTTAGGATCATAAGAATTTAGCTCGGGTATTGTGCTTAATTGAGATTTAATGTAAGTTCAAGGAGAAGATAGATAGAGGAGAGAAAGAAGAAAAATATAGGGGTAATGAGTTGTTTTGCTACAAAAAGGAGAACTACTGAGATAAGATGAGCTTGGAGCAGAGTAGGCTGACCAAAAAAAGGGCTAAAAATGGAATTGGATCCTTTCCTGAGCACAAGGAGCAGATCCTCCTGACCAACACACATGGGCCGTTGGATTTTCATCCAACGACTATAATTATTATAACTTTAAAGGGATCTCCCTGTTTGTAGATGTTGGATAAAAATCCTACAATCCACATGTGTTGGTCAGGAGGATCCGCTCCTTGTGCTCAGGAGAGGATCCAATTCCGCTAAAAATCACCTACAAAACATTGTTTTTATTGAACTTGTTATAGGGGTCAAGACAAATTAACAAGGGGGATTACATTGAGTTATTGGGGTTATGGGCACTCAATGCCCACATTGTAGCTCCGTCGTCGGGGATGGCTAAGCAAATATGATGCCCTTGCCAATTAGGATTTGAAATGATAATTACACACTATTTTTTTTGCTTCTACACACTTTCTTTATTTATAGTTATTGAATTGAATATATCAAACGAAACAAACCAACAAGATTAAGCAAGGGTGCGTAAAGAGATAAAAATTATGTGTGGTTATCATTTCCCAATAGGATAACCAAAATATATGTAATCGTTCAACTTTTTTCGTTAAACAATAATTCACTCATTTGATGTCGTAAATCATTTGAAAATTGATTTTCACTCATTTGTTTTATTTTACTTTTATGCATACTTATAAAGTTTAATAATAATAAAAGGGTAAACATAAAACTAAAATGAATTGTCGTTCATTAAAGTAAATTTGAAACGCTAACTAAAATGAGATTTGAATGTAGTCAATTAAATGCATACAATTAGATTTTATTTCCTTGAAATTTTAATTAAAACCTTATCGAAAAGAGTTGTCAGAGTAATTAATTGCGAACAATTAACTGAAATGAGATCTAACAGTTATTTGCTAAGTGCAAACAGATGAAATCTTTTTTATAGCTTAGTCAATTAAATGCATACAATTAGATTTTATTTCCTTGAAATTTTAATTAAAACCTTATCGAAAAGAGTTGTCAGAGTAATTAATTGCGAACAATTAACTGAAATGAGATCTAACAGTTATTTGCTAAGTGCAAACAGATGAAATCTTTTTTATAGCTATTAATTAAAGGAAAACTAATTAAAATGGTTTGAAAACTTTGAGTTTTAATGATAAGAACAAAATAAAGGGTAAAGTGAATAGTACTATGATTAACTTTTTAGTGTAAAAATGTGGTTTTTCGTTAAAGTGAACAGTACCGGGTGCTTTTCATTAAAACAAGGTCAACTACGTACACACTTATTTTGAAACTGAAGCGAGATCTAACTATGCGTCCATTTTAAACCAAAATCTTGACCAGTTTAGAGTAGATTTCAGCAAAAATGTTATTCTTACTGTCTATTTATCGCATCTCTCTAATAGAGATGAGATAGATTAGATCCACATATGTTTGTAGGTCATACTTTTATTAAAGAGATGATATAAATAATAATATAAATAAATGATAAATATAGCATACTTTAGATTTAGTTGCATTAAATTCCATAGTTTTCTCTCAAAAGACAAAGTTTTGGTGTGAAAAAAATAAAAAGAAAAAAAAAACACGCGCAAAGTGTAATTTAGAGAAATGGATCCTCTCCTGAGCTTAGGATGAGAATCCTCATGAGCAGCCAATTCGGGTAGTTGAAATTTGATTTAACGGTTCAAAACAGAAGACCTCTTTAAAAATTATAATAACCGTTGGATCAAATTTGAACAGTTCGAATGGACTGCTCATCAGGATTCCCATCTTGAGCCCCAGTTCTGTAATTTAGGGGTTAACTTGGTAATAAAGCGCGAAAACAATGAGCGGGGAAACAAAACGTAACCAAGATGAGCGGCGATTAACGCGGTAGGCAAATTATGTAATTTAGTCAAAAGCAATGGGCAAGTTTATTTTTTTCCTTATTAAACAAGAAAAGTAAAAAGAAAAAAAAAGAAGAAAATACAACATAGGTGGCGGTTTCCTAGGTGTTGACGAACCCATCGTTTCCATGGGACGAACCACACCCTATAATTCTTATCCAAATGGGTAAATCGTCAAAATGATCCATGAGATTTGCATAACTCATCACTTTGATCATTGAGATTCCAAATTGATAAAAGTGGTCCATGAGATTGTCCACCATCCATCATTTTTGTCATTTCGTTAAAAACTCCGTTAAATGTCTCGGAGCTCTTGGCCGAAAGTTTGGGCAATTTTCAAAGCTTCGTAACTCAATCGTTTATTAAACAAATTCGACCCATAATATATCAAAATGAAGATAGGAAAGTGTAGAATAAGATTATACCTATTTTGAAGCCCAATGGTTGCCGGAGATTGTCGGAAAATAGGTATAATCTTATTCTACACTTTCATATCTTCATTTTGATATATTATGAGTCGAATTTGGTTAAGAAACGATTGAGTTACGAAACTTTGAAAATTTCCCAAACTTCCGACAAAGAGCTCCGGAACACTTAACTGAGTTTTTAACGGAATGACCAAAATGATGGATGATGGACAATCTCAGGGACCACTTTTGTCGATTTGGAATCTCAGAGACCAAAGTGATGAGTTATGTAAATCTCAGGGACCATTTTGATGATTTACCCTATCCAAAATTGAATAAAAAGTTGGAAAAAAAATCACACTAAAATGGAAGTTACACAAATATGGTTTCCTAATTGTGGATATGGTCCAACTTGGCCTACCATATTTGTACAAATTCCAAACAAGGAGAAGAAAATACACTTTGGTATAGCGACACTCAACCTTCAATTAATTAAAACAGATTTAAAGTCCAATTTATAATCTTACACGAATATATGAACAATATGTATTTATAATGAATGTGATACTAACTTACTAAGTATTGAAACACTGGGACTTGTCGTAGATGATTAGCATCTCGTTGTTTGGTTGTTAAAAGGAAAACTCTTTCGCGGAGTACTTTTCGATGTTTTGGAACACCGCCTAGACACCAATTGACATTATTATTTTATTTTTTTGGAAATCAATTGACATTATTATATCATTCTTTTACTAACACATAAAATAATACATTATGTGACTTGTTTTTACGCTATCAAAAAATTTATCGACTAAAGGGGGGATAGTGATTTCTGACAGAAAAAGAAATATATTTTTTGATTTCATTTTTTTTTCCTTTTAAAAGCATTCAATTGAAACTGTAGGGTTGAATAGTAAACAGACTGCAAACGTATCCAAACGGGTGTAAATACAGAGAACAGTAGTGGGTGGATGTATCAAGCGCGAGGGTGTAGAAAGCCAAAAAGGAAAAAAAAAAAAAAGGATAAAAATCAAAAGAGAGAGAAAAACGAGAAAGAAACGGGCACTTTTAGTAATAGGCCGGGGATGCTTTCAGCCCTAATTCAATGCTGTACCAAACTCACCCTCTTTTTATTCCAATTTCATCCCTCTCCCCTTTACTTGTTCAATTCTTTCTACATCCTCAACCTCTCTCCTCTCTATCTCCTCCTCTGCTCTCCTCCTCCCACCTCTCCCTCCCCAACAGGTACTTCCAAAATGGAATCTCAAAATTTTTAAACTGTGTCAAAATAAACCAGATTAAGAACAAACCCTTTTGGTGTTTTTTGTAGTTGAAGAAAGAATGTCGTTTCATCTTATTTCTGGGTTTTTCTGGTTCTGTTTTCTTAGGTTGGAACTGAAATGGAATGCGTCGAAGCGGCTCTGAAGACCAGTATTAGGAAGGAGATGGCTGTGAAGGCGACCGGCCCACAAGTGGTGGTTTTCGACGACTTCTTGTGGGGCGGCGCCGTCGTCAACGGCCAAAACGCTTGCGACGATTTCTCAGTCGACGACCTTCTCGACTTCTCCAACGAAGACGGGTTCGTCGAAACGGAGGCCGAGGAAGAAGGCGATAAGGAAAAAGTCAAGGGCTTTGTCTCCGTTTCGCTCCAAAAGCAGAACCAGGAGACGGAAAAGTCCAATTTGTCGGAAAAAATCGAACCAGCGAGCGAACTCAGCGTTCCGGTACCTATTTTTGCAAATTTCCGTCTCTAGAAATGGTGATATTTTACTGCTTTTCGTGGTTTTTGACCAAAAGCTACCTTTTTTTTTTGCAGGCGGACGACTTGGAGAACCTCGAATGGTTGTCTCATTTCGTCGAGGATTCCTTCTTGGAATTCTCCACGGCTCTTCCGGCCGGGTTCTTGCCCGAGAAGCCCAAGTCCGAGAAGAGACCCGACCTGGAAACCCCTTTTCCGGAAAAGCCCTGTTTCAAGACTCCAGTTCCGGCGAAGGCCAGAAGTAAGCGGAGGCGGACCGGCGGCAGGGTCTGGTCCCTTGGGTCGCCGTCGCTCACGGAGTCGTCCTCGAGTTCGAGTTCGTCGTCATCCTCCTCCCCGTCGAGCCCCTGGACCATTTACCCCGCCACCCAGAACCAGGAATCGGCCGAACCGGTCTTGTCTGTTGAGAAGCCCCCGAGGAAGCCGAAGAGAAGACTGGTGGACGGAAGTTCGAGCCAACCGCCGCGGCGGTGCAGCCATTGTGGGGTCCAGAAAACCCCTCAGTGGAGAACCGGCCCGAACGGAGCCAAGACCCTCTGTAACGCATGCGGGGTCCGGTACAAGTCAGGCCGGCTCTTACCCGAGTACAGGCCTGCATGCAGCCCGACGTTTTCGAGTGAGTTGCACTCCAACCACCACCGGAAAGTTATAGAGATGCGGCGGAAGAAGGAAGGCCCGGGCACGCCCGAACCCAGTACGACCATACTTCCGGCGGTGCCCAGTTTTTGATTAGGAAGTAGTTCCACCAGAAAAGGATGAAAGTTTAGTTAGCAAGTAGGGAAGAGAGGACAGTGAACCGGGGTTAGATTAAACCCGGTTCAACCAGGCCGAGTTAGTGTACATTTTTACCGTTTAATTGTTTTTCCTTTATCTTGCTTTCATGGCGGACCGGTGGTGGGTGCGGTGGGTTTGTAGGGATGTAACTGAATAGGCAGGGGACTTTACTAGTTTACTTAATTTGTTCTTAATTTTAAATTATATTCCTTGTTCGTTTTAGTTTGCTAAAATCCGTGTGTTTTATGGTGATTTGATTTTAATTTTTCCCTAATTTTAAGTTTCAGTTATTTTTTTCAGAGGGAAAGGATGATTTTGTGGTGTAACTGACATTTTTGAAAGCGTTCAACTTTTTAATTTGGCGGCCGTTGGAAAACAAAAATGTTATGAACCAAGCGCGCCAAGAGACGAGAGAGGGAAAAAGATTATCTTCTGAGCTCAGATGAGAATTCTTCTTACCACCCTATATGAGCCGATTAAATTTAATCTAACGGTTTCAAACATGGGGTTTTCTAAAAATTATAATAATTGCAACCGTTGAATTAAATTTAAATTGTCCAGATAAGTTGGTCAGGAGAATTCCCATCCAAAACTCAAGAGAGGATCCTCTTTCGAGATAAAGGGGTCGAAAAAAGGACATATTTTCAAGTGGCGTAATCTGCCCTCAAAGTTCTGAAAGAGTTGTGAAAGACGACGGTTCGTTACCTGCAAAGTTCTGAAAGAGCTGTTGTGGTGACAACTAAGCCAGCTCTCACCTCGGGTTGAACAAGAGAAGAATCGGGTGCAAGCATGCAGGGCACCAGTTGTTTTTCCGATAGATGTTCATACTCAAAATTTTCTCCTTAATAACGCATCAGATTTTCTCGTGATGGGTTTAAAGGCTATAATGTCAGGTGGGTAGAGCTCAGTTGATAAGGCAAATATCCTTGAACTAGTCACAACTCACAACGTAGTTCAGAATGAGTGAGGATCCTCGTTGGATTTTCTTTGTAAGGATCATGAAGATCCTCAAATTACATATGTTTATTGTACATTGTGCGATCGAAAAACATTATAAATTTTTTTATTTAAAATGAAATATAAACAATATTTGACGAAAATTAAACATGCACGATGAACAAATATAATTAGATAATTCTTGAAATCTTCACAAAGAAGATCGTCCTTCAAAATTTGAATGAGGGTGCCGCGCGCACACACTTGAGTGGTGACACTGACAACCATAATTACCACCAAGCCATGACTCATCATTCCATGTTGGTAGCATTGCTTACAAGCATACACAAAAAGAAAAAAACTCACTAATCCTTTCTTGATTTCAAAAACAATACCCCTTTAGACCAATTAAAGTAATTTTGTTTCATAATCGGAGTAATCTAGGGTTTCATAAAGTTTGATTCTTTATCTAGCAAAAAAGGAATTGTGATATAATTATGAATGTATTAGTCATTTTTCTTGTTTTTATAGACGTCCAGTTAAAAATTAACTTTATTTCAAATTTATTAGCTGCGGTTAAGTTTTATTTTCATCAATAGACTAACAAGGCAAAAATATGTTAATCGCATGAAAGAATTATTAATTATATACACATATACCATAAAAATCTATCATCAAATTTGTGAGATAATTTTTCAGAACAAAGAAATTAATCATACGAACATCCTTGACCTTGAAAGGAGATGCATTTTACCATTTTCACACACACACACACACACATATATATGTAATGTTTGAGTTTGAGTGGGTAAAAACTGCAGAGAAAAAATTTCAAATAGATAGACCTCGAAATTGTGTAGCTGCTGGCGGGAATAGGATGCATGCCAAGTGAATTTCATATAGACTATCCAGAGCTTAGATTGCTCATGCCATTTGTCGTCGTTTCTTATATATGCAGCATTTGTCCTCACTCATATACAATTCTTCTTTTAATTTCTATGTAACTTGCTGCTGGCCGGATTATAATTTAGACAGCAAAGAGCAGACTAAGATTAACCTAAATATTATTCTTCTACTTTAATATTGGACTATATATATAATTTTATATTGTTTTTTGTATGAACACAAGGAGCAAGTTAATTATACTTTAAATACTTTAATCTTCAACTAGATATTCAAATCCAATGTCTACAAAGTTGTATTGTATCCGTCTCATGATTTGAATAATCAGATGCTAATTCCAAGTAGAAGAAGCCACATTCTTGTACTCAAACATAGACAAGTCTATCAAGAGTCAAATATAGTATTTTCTTGAATTACATTATCCACTAATATTTATAGCCATTTTTTAGGAATTGGCTTTGCTGGCGCTCCAGCTTCCTCACTTCACTGTTTGAGTGTACGTTGTTGCATGTTTACTTATCAGAAATAAGGGAAGTTGAGAATGGCGGAAGTAAGAACGAGAACCGGATCGAGTTCTACCTCCAATCCTAATTGTAGTATGTTTACTCTAAGGCGAGACCACAAATTTTTTTGATTTCTTAGAACGTCTCCAAAGAATATGTCTAAACATGAAATTTAAATTTAAAAGCTTATGTGGCACTTTGATATATATTTTTTTAAATTTTGTTCTCCAACCAATATGCCAAATTTAAACTATTATTTATTATATTATTTACTTTTCATAATTGTATAATTATTTTTAGAACAAAAAATAATTAGAAAAACGATAAAAAGCATTTATTAATCACTAAAAATAGATTTGAAGTTGCTGTCTGTTAAGCATTATGTAGAAAAGAGAATAGAGAGATTGTAGAAGAAGAAGAAGAAAACGGAGAAAACTTAGAGAGGGAAAGAGAATGATTTTTCACTTATATTTTCTTGATTGATTAACTAGTTACAGAGATACAGTTGCTATATAGATGGATATTCACCTAATTGCCTTATCCGAATTTTACACTAGCAACAATCCTAACTGCCTTATATGTTTGGCTAATGGCAATGTGTCATGATCCACACCTTCCATATCCTATGTACTATAACATCCCCCTGCAAGCTCATGATGGTCCAAGCTTGAGATTGTTGCAGTTGGAGAGTATCTGGCAATCTAAACTCTTTTTGGATAATATTCCTTGCATTGGAAAGTGGAGTATTTGGTCATTGCTGCACACATACCCTACAATAAGAAAACCTCCTAGCATCTGGAGCTTTGTATTTAACCATTATATCGTGTATACCATAGTTCCCCAATCAACGTAGACTTGGTGCCCCCACCCTTATAAAAAATTCTCATATGGTAGCCTAACTGAATATCAAATATACTTCCACCATTGCATAACCGAAGTACATAAAATCTTCAAAACTCATGTACAACAGTTTGAGTAGGAACACCAATTTTCACCTTGTTGTCAGAGTTAAGAACTGGAAATGTCACTTGAATACATGATTGTAAACCCACTGAAATCAACTGAGAGTCTGCACTTTCCTTGTCAATACATTCCAAAACTTGTTTTTCTGCATCATCTAAAAACATTTCATCTTCTGAAACAATGAAGTGAGAGAGAAAACCAGAGTGGTGATCATAAGATATATGAATTTCAGCATTAGAATTGCTTTGTAAAGGTGTTTCATGATTTTGCAGGATGACTGGACACACTAGTTTGAGGTGTTGATCCAATGTTCTTTGACATGATTCAGGGGTTGAAACTGAAGATTGAGCATTATGTATGTGATAACAATCAACATCAAAATGATCTTTTTGTGAACAAATTTGATGTGATCCGCTAGTTTGTGAACTTTCTGCACCAATAGAACTAGTTGGCTGCTCCTTGTGTTTTCATTATAATTGTTGTATCACGATCGTTCTGCTTTGAAGCACTGATATAAGCTCCCGTTGTGGAATTAAGTGGCAGGGAAGATCCAAGGTAATGAGAGAAAGAATTGACCATAACAGAGTCCATCTCAATTGACTCCATTAAATTAGAAAATCGAACCTGATCCTGCAATTTTAGATCTTGTGTAATAGATGTGTTGGTAGTTTAAGTAGAACAATGGGCAACAAGATGATCCTTATGTGAACAAATTTGACATGTAGTAATTTTAGGTGGCAGAGAACTAGGATATGGAGATGGAGGTGAGCCAAGAATTCCATTATAACTATCAACATTATTACTATAGCTTGACTAGCATGAACTAAAATTGGATTGAGCTTGATAACCACCATTAAAGCCAGCATGAAATTGAGAGCTAAAGAGAGGAAAGAAAGAACCTTTTGTCTCACATTTAACAAGAGCACAATCCACAATGGCTTCCTCAGTGAGCAATTGTGCACGAAAATCCTTAAGTGAAATGATGCTCTCACGCCCTTTGAGTACACATTTAAATGTGTTGTATTTTGGAGGGAGTCCATTCAATGCAATGATCACAAAGTCTTCATCAGCAAGTGTGACACCAAGAATAGAAAGTCCATCCCTTGCTTATTTAATTCTTTGAAGATACTAGGAAATTGAATTTGATCCCTTCTTAATGTTGTAAAGATCAGTCTGTAATTTGATTATACTGGTTTTTGTACTTGGTAAGAAAAACTAGTTTTGAAGACAAACCCATATCTCTTGAGAACTCTTGCTACCAATCACACAGGAAATAGCGGATAAAGAAAGTGTGGAAGTAAGTAACAACATTAAGGAATGATCATGCATTTTCCAGACTTTGTACTCATCAGTTTCAATTCTTGAAGATGAAGTACTAGATGTTACCTCTGAATCTCCTGAATAAGTGGAAGAAAATTGAGCAAGATAGAGATTTGATTCGTCAACAAACCCCATAAGTCCATGGACTTCAAGCATCAACTGCATCTGAAATGCCATTGTAGATAGTTGGTCTCATCCAGTTTCACAGTAACAGACGTGGAAATGGATGAAATCAATCCAGTGATCGGTGATTGCAAGATTTGAAGTTGATTCGCAGTTACCATTTCGGAAAATTGTAGAGAAATTTGTATGAGGAAAAGACTCAAACACTTGGTGTGCACAAAAGAAAGCAATGCTCAGCGCTTGAACTACTAAAGATGTTCCTTCAAACTATGGGATATGGTAATTTTGGCTTTCTAGTGGAGCAAGTCAAAGACGACTATAGGAATTTTCAACAAACTCAGCAGCAAATTCACGGAATCCAGTCTCAGTTGCAGCCACAACACTAGAATCTCATTCAAGTACCCCAATAAGAAAAATGCATATGCAGATGCAACAAATTGCGCATTAAAAAAAAAAGTGCCTTTTCAACAACGGCAGTAGTTAGAAAGAATGGGAAGATGTCAACCATCCACTCCTCGAGCAGGTATGGATACGATCATACGGATAAGGAAAGACTAATGGTACAGGTCGAGATTGAAGCCTCATCAGAGTTACCATGAATAACTGGGTAATCTTGATACACCCACAAGATAGAAGAAGAAAGAATTTCGTGTAGTGGAAGCAAAAGAAAGGATCGAATAAGCTGATCAAGCTTTAATGTCGATTGATGCCATATTAATCATTATGTAGAAAAGAGAACAGAGAGATTGTAGAAGAAGAAGAAGGAAACAGAGAAAACTTAGAGAGAGGAAGAGAATGATTTGTCACTTGTATTTTCTTGATTGATTAACTAGTTACATAGATATATTTGCTATATAGATGGATATTCACCTAACTGCCTTATCTGAATCTTACACTAGCAACAATTCGAACTGCCTTATCTATTTGGCTAATGACATGTGTCATGATCCACACCTTCCATATCCAATATACTCTAACACTGTCAACTTTGACATCAACCACCTTTGCTATCAATCCATATCATGCCACAAGGAACTGACGTTTCGGTTGGAAAACAATAATGATGTCTTTTTTTTATTGTTATTGAGATGTGGACCTTCTCATCCTTTGGAGATGCTCTTAGGTGTTAGTAAATGTAGGGTAAGTTAGGAATTCAAATGATTTATTTTCTTCTTGTATTCATTCATTATAGGATAATGCTATTTGAATTTATTGACCACCTTACTCATCAACTCCCTAATAGAGGCGTATGCTATATGGATTTATTGACCACCTTCCAAATCAATTCTCTAATAGAGGCATATCCCACAAATGTATGCGAGTTCCACTTGTTTCAAAAAAGTGTTCAACAAAGTGATCAATAATTAGAGTTCAAATAGCATTATAGCATTATTTACTTGATATATGTAAACACACCATTAAATTAATTAATTTAAAAAAATAAGGATTTAACAAAGGGGTGTGCTATCCACACACCCCAAATTACTTCCCACACACCCCTTGTTAATTTCTGTCCGTTGATCTTTTTCAATTCATCCGATCCGACGGCCGAAAATTAAAAGGGTGTGTGAGAAGTAAAATGGGGTGTGTGGATATCACACCCCTTTAACAAAATATGTAAAATCGTGCGTTAAAAGTTAGGCAGGAGGTGTAAAATCACATGGTTTCTTAGCCATAATAAGCAAATGAAAATCGAGACTAGGGTTCCACCAAAAACAAACTAACCCTAAACCTAAAAATGTAAGAAATAGTAGTGTGGCCAAAACGTCATGGAAAAAATTGGGTACGCCACCATAATTGTTGAGTGGCATTTACGTGATGGCCATCTCCCACCAGTTCCAACCACTCTAAACGTCTATAATAGGGGAACATTAAGTAAGGATGCCTTTGTCCACTTGTGTGGGACTTGCATACCTTGGGTTTTCTTAGGGTTTTGACCTTGTGAGAATCTGAGCCTTCCATGCCACAAAAGCTTTATGAAATATCTTGGTGTACAAAACGAACATGATCATGAGTTAGAAAATCCGAACAAACTAGTCAAGTATAAAATAGATCATGCGTTATATTCGCGTACTAAATAGATTGACATGCATGCGTTATATTCTCTTATCAAATAAATTATTAACTGTGCATGGTAAATTGTTATTCTGTAGTTTGAATATGCGTTCAAACAAATTAACTCTAGTTATTTAGGAAGAATGTTAGCAACCTCAATATTATTTGGTTGAGTGGCACTATGTTTATTTTTTGTTGAGAAAAGTGATGCACTAGTCCAACGAATAGAATGCTAAGAATCAACGGGATTTGAATCAAGTTTGATGTCTTTGATAACATAAAACGTGTTACGTTCCAAATAGAAAAAAATCTAGTATTCTTTTACTCCCAAAGGCCATCAAAACCAATGATGATGTTGACGATGGTGATGCAGATGTCCGGTTAGTGGTAATAAATTTGGTTAATTAAAGATATTTATAATATGTATTATATATAGATAAATGCTAAGAAAACTCTCTCAAAAGTTGGCCCCTCTATTGATTCTCTAATGCCTTATGTTTTTAATACAATATTTTACAATGTTTATATAAAAATTAACATTAAACTGTGAAATATTAAAGAGTACATGGTGAGTTGTACTTTTGAGACTGACTTTTTTTAACATTTCTTTTATATAAAACATCATTTGGTAGTCAAAATTCTGGGCCGGCCTTTCACTGAAAGAGTAATGGATTGTCTCGTGCCCTCCATTTGAAAAATCCAAAGGCAAAACGGTCCTCTCTCTCTCTCTCTCTCTCTCTCTCTCTCTCTCTCTCTCTCTCTCTCTCTCTGTCTCTTATCTACAAGGTCCACATGGTGGTAGTGCCAGTGAGTAGTGAGTGGTGACTGTGCCCAGGTGGGCAGCCCACCTTTTACCCAACTTTTTTTTACCATAATGTTTGCTGAAGAATTAGCAGCCATTTGGCGGCCTTGTAGTTAGTTCTTTGCATGTGCTACGTAGACCTGTTTGCGAATAGGAGTTTACTTATCAGTTCAGCAGCTTCATCCACATCCAAATAACGCATGGGTTGGGTCCTGTTCAGTCTCGTGTTGAACACTGCACTCGGAGTTAGACTGACTTAAATGATTAATTTGAATGCATTATATATATGATATATGCAAGCTGATATTTGATTTTGTTTGGTGCCTATCTAGGAAGCTAAGGAGTTTAAGTTTTGACTTTGTTCTTTTTGATTTTTAGGTTTCACTTTTATTAAAACAGAAATCTTATTTGATAATTATTTTCAATTTTAAAAAATAACTTTTATAAGACCAAATTTTGCTAACTCAAGAAAGTAGTTTTCAATTTTCAATATATATATATATATATTTTTTTTTAAATTGAAAACTGAAAGTAGTTACCAATCAAGATTTTAGTTTTCATAAAAAAATGAAAAACTAAAATTTGAAAATGAAATTGTTATCAAACGACCCCTAAGTGGTATGATTGTTTGGTAGTACAGTAGATATAAAGAAATTATTGTGTATTACTTAAACGCGTCACATGATATAACCAATCTCCATGCATACCATAATAGAGTGGTTGATTCAATAATCATATATGTACATCGTTTTTTGTTGAGCTCTATCAGTGAGATGTTTCATCTAGCACTTGGTGGAATTGTTGACATCAATCTAAGTCATTTGAAAAAGACATCAACTGTATAGACATCTGTGTAGTCCCTCCCAATAGCTTCTAAACAATTTTTTCCAGTAGGATCCGGGGACCCGGTAGGTCCGTTTAATGTATCGATCCTTCAATATAGGTAGATACCACTTAATTATATACCCTATAAAATAATCTCATATTCTATTCATTTATAATATTTATAATACGTGAACTAATTATACTGCGTGACATAGTTTCTAAACACTAATGACCTAATCGGAATGCCAAATGCAATGAGCATTTCACTTTGCAAATTATGATGGTATGGCCATTGGAGCTAAAGAGGTTCCTATTTCGGATCAGCTCTACCATTTTATGTCCCACATACACGAACCTTTCCTTATGTTTTATATGATCGGATCATGTGTTTAAAAGTGGTTGGTTTGTAAAGTCAATTAGGTCCATGGAATTTGGTATTATATATTTATTAGTATTTGAGAAGATAACGTCATCGAAATTTTCAAGTCATACTTGTTAATTTATAGAGTATAGAAGTCCAAATTAATCTTGTTAAACAGACATTTCATCAGGAATTATTACAATAGCTTAATTATACATGTTACCGTTACTTGAATCTGGCAATATGCATATGCATTTTCTCTGTACCACAAGTCCACAACTCTAGGCTGATAAAAACAGAAAGCAAGCCTTGGCTAGTTTCAGTACTTTTAGGTAGCAACGTTTGCTCGTCAAATTAATATGAGTGAACTTGAAATCTCCCACTTATAAAAATACTTATGCTCACCGATCTTAAATGTTGACGTGCATCACCCCCACCGCATAGATTGTCGTTAGATAGATTTAAATTTCGATTTTTTTTTTGTAGCAGATAAATTAAATCAGTCATCTCACAGGGAAATGGATCATCTCCGAATCCCTTCCACCAAATCCACCCAATCAATCAATGAACCCGGGCCCTTGAAATTTGATTCAACAGTTACAAACAGGAGGCCCCTGTAAAAGTTATAACTTTAGCCGTTTGATTAAATTTTAAGGACCCGGATTAAATGATTGGATGGATTTGGTGGAAGGGATCCGGAGGATCCCTTTCCATCTCACAGAAAATATTGGGTGCAGAGAAAAGTGCAACCTCCCACCAACAATAGAAATTAACAAGAAATTGAAACCCGCATGTTGATGTGGGATTAGAAATTGTCTATACCAAAATTATAAACACATAAAGAAGAGTAGGTATGGGGGCTCCTTTCGCTTAACTACTTAGCTTTAATTAGGGCAGATTTTTTGTGCTGTTGAAGTAATGAGACAAAACACAATAATCAGATGGCACCAAACTTGTATATTATGTAACTGCTAGTTTGTCCATTAAGAGGGAAAACACCAAATATACTGATCAACTGCATGCTTGCAGGTTTATATATAAATCCAAAAGAAGAATGAAATCAGAAACAGAGCCAGCTTGTCATAGAACATATTACTATTTATAAAAAAAAACAAAAATCTGAACTAATTAGGTAGAAATGAGAAACAGAAATGTAAGCAAGTGATTATACGTAATACATGAGGCATGCACAGCTTTCTTGTCCTGAATTCGGTGACGAAAACATAATGCAATTTGATGGTTCTTGGATGTCCAGATAGAAGCAAAAACTTGTACTCTCATCTCCTGATCATCAAAATGTATTTTCACACACCTCAAATCAAGAAGTAGTCTTCACAAAAACTAATACAACCCAATCATGTTTTCAATTCCAAATTTGTCTAGGCATTCAAATGAAAGTGGTGGAATGAAGAGTAAAATTAGTACCTTTGCCAGACCCAAAATGGTGGAATGTAAGCATACCTTGGCAAAGGCAATAAACGGCACAACAGAAACCGAATAGGCGCCTTGAATATCTCTGGGTGCTCCTCAGCTTCAACCCTAAAGAGATGAGCGTGAACGAAATCACGCACAGCATGATGTCAGCACAAATTTATCAACAGGAACTTTTTATGTAATGAAACTAATATGACATCATGCAGATTAAAAATGGTGGTTGCATGCCACAGAATTTGAGGTATATATTATGCAGTGGTATGAAACTTAGTATTTCATGTACATGTCATGCAAGGATCAAGTATGCCATTAACCTTCACGTACTGATATATTTATGCAGTGGTATATATTATCGTTGACATATACATATATTAGCTATAGCTCTAACCGTTGCTATACCATCATGCAAAAAACTTTACCAGAGACCACTTTTGATTAGAATAATAATGTTGGTGTATAAAAATGTTTTGAAATTAAAAACATTAAATGCATCATACTTTAGATTGGTTTGACTAAACATAATTTGATATAGAGTACATGATGAAGTATGATTATTTGTTCTTTATAGAATATTTTAGTGTTACATTGATATTGAATGTATTCATTCAATAAATTGGCAAGCGGTGCTGAACATAAAATTACGAAAACAATTATACATACTGGGCAACTGTGCCTTGAAACTCAGAAATTCAAGGATATTTTAGTGTTACATTGATATTGAAAGTATTCTTTCTGCTCGTGAACAGTATTTTTTCACCGGGCTTTAGAATATAGATAACATCACAGGATGATGGTACAAGTTACTATTGGGTATGTATCGCGCAGTTGATCTATCATCGAGCCCATTTCTTGGATTTGATGATTCAAGCCCATTTACGAATGAAATGCCAAACGGCCCATCAAGATAGGTGTGAGATTGGCCAGCCCAGTTCACACCTCTCAAGACCAGATATCTGAAAATGTGACCCCAAATCCCCTCTATGGGATCAATGCAATCATTTTTTTATTTTTTTAGCTTCTTGTTTTTGCATGGGGTTAGTTTGAGTTTGTCTTTGTATGAATCATTATTTCTGGTAAGCGCTTTTATTTAAAATGGTCTTGTTATAAACATGCCAATTTTCTATTTTTTTTTTAATACATCGATTTATTTACACTAGAAGGAGGGAGAGTTTGGTTAAACCACACAATGGGCTGCTTACTTTGGTATCGAATTCACCATCTATGAGATTCGAATCTAAGACCTCTCACTTTCAAGTGAAAAGGAATACCACTAGACCATAGTATTGAGTAGGCCAATTTTCTATTAAAAATTTAAGTTCTTTTCAAGGGTTTAAAAGTGCTTCCTAAAGAAGTAACCTCCCTCCACCCTCACCCCCAACGGGCTGCAAAAGAAATGATCGATATTTACACATATGATATGATGCCTTGTAACGCAATTTGTCCCACTTTACACCAAGTCTGTCAATCAATACAAATCATCCAATTCTAAACTTTCTACACATATACACTAGCTAACCAATTACTTGGTTTAGCGCTGGTATCTACATATCTTTGTTTTTTTTTTTTGGTAGCCGACGGACCATCATTGTCTTCGCATTATATGTACATTTACAGCATAATAAATAGGGTGTGTAGCAAATAGCTGCGGGTTCTCTCTATAAGCAACTTGGTTATCTGTCAGCCACGTTCCTACTTCATGAATATTAATTAGTATGAACTTTTCAGTGCTAATTAATATGGTTTAGATATTACAAGAGGTCACTGGCATGCATGCTCTATTATCGTTGACAAGTATAAGATCCAATCTGAATTTTTTTGACAGATATACACATCAGCATAGAGCTGACAGATGGCATATATGTATGCTGAGGTGGTTGGGATGGTTGTTAGACTGTTAAAAAGGCATAAGAAAGTTAGTTGGAAATAACTGTAAAAGCTAAAGATAGTAGCTTATATAAACCGAAATCTCGCTGTAAACATTACTTCATTCAATACACAACTATTACATTCATTAACTCATTCTCTCTACACTCTTCTGCAATGTTCACCTTTTCTTCTTCTTCTTCTTCGATACTTGCTTAGTGTTAATATGGTATCATCTCCGGAGGTCGTTTCTTGGTGATCTTCCGTTTCTGCGCTGCAAATTTTTGGTGCTGTTATGCTTGATTGGAATATTTTCTGTTCTTGGTGAAGCTTTTTCGGGCTTGAATTGTGGTGTTTCGACAGAGCAACAGTTTGTGCACTCCAGCTGTTTAATGATTTGTGTCAGTGAGTATTTCTTTTGTTAGATGATTTGTTTGCGTATAAGGCCTGTTTGTACCATACTTGACTAATCCCGAAACTACTGAGCACCGGTCAACATTATACCGTCAAGGACCCAGAAGAGTTTCCCTCCAACCAGGAGGCCAATCACAGCGCGACACGTGTCGACATCAGAAACCAATCATAGCGCGACACGTGTCAATATCAGAAGCCAATCATAACACGACACGTGTCAATGTCAAAACAAATCTAGAAACTCTCTTCTATAAAAGGAGATCATTCTCCCACAATATTGCCTAATGTCATTTGTACTAAATCATTCACTAGTACTCACAAAAAGGAGAGCTTGAACGTATGTACTTGTGTAAACCCTTCACAATTAATGAGAACTCCTCTACTCCGTGGACGTAGCCAATCTGGGTGAACCACGTACATCTTGTGTTTGCTTCCCTGTCTCTATCCATTTACATGCTTATCCACACTAGTGATCGGAGCAATCTAGAGAAGGTCACAAACTTAACACTTTCTGTTGTACCAAAGTCCTCACTGATTTTGTGCATCAACATTTGGCGCCGTCTGTGGGAACGACACTTATTCCCACTTTTTTCAGCTTTGTTAAGTTGGTTTCCACCATTCGTACACTCTCTTTTGACCATGCATCCCGTTTTAACATGGGGAGGGAAGGAAGCCACAACACACAGAATGACACCCCTCTTGCACCTGGTGCGAAACAACGAAAGAAGGAATAAAAGAGCGATGTTTTCTCTTCCCCTCCACCCTCTCTGGCGGAGCTCTAAACTGGTATTGCCGTCTTCCACCTGAGACGGTAGACTCATTTGAGGAATTGAGGAAACTATTTGTTTCTCAACACATTTTCCAGACCGATCGCTTGCACTCTGCGAATGACTTCTACATTATTTGCCAGAAGCCAGACGAGTCATTATGTATGTATGCTGGCCGCTTCAGCCATGAGTATTCCTGTTGTGCCGAGGCAGACGACAAGATTGCCTTCAAAGCCTTCACGGCAGGCCTACGTGATTGTTTCTTCAAGTACATGATCAATGCCAACACTTGGAAGACTTACTCTGAGGTGATGGCACATGCTTACAACCATGCCTCCGCTGAGGCAAAGACATATCAAGGGAAACCCCCCCACAGCCACCCCTTATCAGCAAGTAGGGAGTGGAAGCTAGATCCAACCAAATGAGAAGACCTCGACCTTCCAAACGGCAGCGGTGCCTCATCCTGCCTTACTTAATACTTTGCCAAGTCAACAGACATATCAATCTCAGGGCAAAAGGAAAGATTTCCATCCTCACCAGTCATCTTTTAGTAAAAGGAGTAATGGACACTATCGCGATAACCAAGGGTATCGCCACAATAATGCCCGCCCTCATGCAGTCAACATAGTGGGCCAAACACGTGTCAGGACAGGCCCTACCCTGAAGTATGAGACGTACACGCCTTTGAACCCTACATGCATGGCCATTTACCCCAGCATAGCACACCTGATACCGAAGCCAATGCCAAGGCAGTCGGGTTATAAGCCCACGAAGAACACGGGCACGTTTTGTTGTTACCACGAGCATAACGGCCATGACGGCAAAAAGTGTATCACCTTTCGTGATCATATTGAAGCTTTGGCGCGTGAAGGAAAAATTGATCAATTCCTCCTTCACCCTTTAAGGGATAACCGTAAATGTGATATATTCCATAAGCGGTGGCACACACATATCTGAATCTTCCAATAAGGCCATGAAAAACAGCGAACAAGCTTTAAGGCCTGGCCACCAAGTGTTTCACGTGGAAGACATCAGGGGAGGCAAGTATCAAAAGCTTAAATGAGATCCAATATGTTTCTACCCTGAGGAAGAAAGAGGTATCATCTACCCTCACAACGACCCACTGATCGTTGAAGCTCACATAGCCAACTTTGAAGTACGATGAATCCTGGTAGACACGGGGGGCTTCGATCAATATCATGTTTGCTGAAGCTTTCAGGGCACTTAATGTAGCTGAACACTTGCTCGATCGCTCGATTTCTCCTCTGATAAGCTTATCCGGTGATATCGTGCAACCTATAGGTAGCATACACTTACCTTTCACCATTGGTACATACCTTTACACAGCTACCATTACCACAACTTCCTGGTAGTTGATTGCCCAACGACATACAATGTCATCTTTGGACGCATAAGCATCAATGATTTTAAGGCCATGGTATCCACACATATGTTGTTGATGAAATTTCCAACCCCTTATGGCAATGGTTACATCAGAGGAGATCAACTTAGTGCACGGTCATGTTACAACACTTCGGTCAAGCAACAACACCTGTCTGTGCCCATGAAAACCTTTTCTATACAAGACCAAATCATAAAGACTAGCCCGGATGAAGCCAACTTGGATCTTCACGGTGGAAACAGTCAACCCGACGATCCTCAAGATGACTCTTTCACCCAGCAAACACAACCCGTTGAAGAGCTGGAGAAGGTTTCTATATCAAAAGATTATCCAGATCGTATGGTAAAGATCAGCACCACCTTGTCACCACCCATTCGGTTGGCATTGATCTCTTTTTTGCAAGAGAACACTGAGGTCTTTGCCTGGTCATACAAAGACATGCCAGACATCTCTCCCAATATCATATGTCATCACTTGAGTATTGATCCCAAGACCAAGCTGATGAGACAGAAGTGAAAATCTTATGACGCTGAACGATATGAAGCAATGAAGGCAGAAGTTGAAAAACTCAAAGGCATAGGCTTCGTCTGCGAAGTCAATTACCCAACATAGGTAGCAAATGTGGTCTTTGTTAAGAAAAATCCGACCAAAGAAAGTCTCCTGCTCTAAAAGGTCTTGTGGAGAATGTGTGTCGACTACACTGACCTAAACAAAAACAAAGGATGCCCGAATGATAACTTTCCTTTTCCTCTCATTAACAGACTTATAGACTCTATGGCAGAGTGTGAACTCCTGAGCTTCATAGATGCTTACTCAGGATACAACCAAATCCTCATGAACCTTTTAGACCAAGAACACACAGCCTTCACTACTGACAGGGGACTATATTGCTATAAAGTCATGCCCTTCGACCTAAAGAAAGCAGGAGCGACTTATCAGAGATTAATCAATTCAATGTTCACCGAACAGATTGGGAAGAGCATGGAAGTTTACGTTGATGATATGCTAGTCAAGAGCAAACATGCTGACCAACACATCGCTAACCTATTTGAAACTTTCACCATTCTGAAGAGATATCGAATGAGGTTGAACCCCAACAAATGTGCCTTCGGATTGGGCTTTGGCAAATTTTTAGGCTTCATGATAAGCTAATGAGGCATTGAGGCTAATCCTAAGAAGATCAAAACAATCCTCGACATGAAGGAACCAGTAACTTCAAAAAACA